CACACACCCTCACCTGAACACACACCCTCACCTGAACACACACCCTCACCTGAACACACACCCTCACCCGAGCACACACCCTCACCCGAGCACACACCCTCACCCGAGCACACACCCTCACCCGAGCACACACCCTCACCCGAGCACACACCCTCACCTGAACACACACCCTCACCTGAGCACACACCCTCACCTGAACACACACCCTCACCTAACAAGCATAGTTACCTGAACCCCTTCACTCGCCTGAGTTCACCCCCTCCTCTGAGCCCACCCCTCATCTGTGTCAGAACCCTCGATTTATTCCAGGCCATCCAATCAGCTCGAACGGTCATCTGAGCCTTGGAAGCATCTCTGTCCCCCTCAATCCTGACCACATCATTTTTTTCCTGGCTGTGTGACCTGAAGCATCCAACGCAGGATGGTCAGAGCGCCCTCTTGCACAGCATCTGTAAGTTTACAAAGATTTGTACCCCAACCTCTTTCAGGAAGTTCATGGCCACTATGCAAAGGAGGGGCCACAGAAAGGACAAAGGACCCGAAGTGGCCCGGTCATCCCCAGATTGCTGGCTCTCCAGACTCTTACCAACTCTTGTCTCTTCTCCCCCTCCTACATATATGATACAAAGCCCTGCACCCAATATATCTCAGCCCACATGGGAGAGCAGGAGGTGAGAACCATGGTTTCTTTAAAGCTCTGCTGGGCCAGGCTGTTTCATGACTGAATGAGGGGGGCGGGCTGTCCACCTTTCTCCGATGGGATGGCACAATAAAGAAGGTCTCGATGTTGTGAGTTCTCAGGAAGGTGTTCCTCTCGTGGCCATGACCCGGCTCGACCTCGTAGTCCCCATTCAAGCACGCGAGGGTCGTCTTTGTGATGTGAACCTTCCTATGAGAGAAGGATGCAAAGCTGAGTGTGAACTCACAAGCGTGGCTGCGCAGGGTCCTGGGTGAGGCACTCTCACTTGGGGTCACAGCAGAGGTTGGGGCACATGCACTCATGTTCCAATGCGTGAGTAACCTGGGAAGAAAGGACTGGAAGGCCCAGGCAAGCCAAGTGATGGGGTGCACAGCCAGGAAGGCAGGATCGGGTTGGCGAAAGCCACAAAGGATCAGGAAGAGCCCCAACGGAGAGAAAGAAACAATCAGAAGTTTGTAATAAAGAAGATGAGAACAAAGCAGAGTGGAAAAAGAAAGGGGAAGACTTCACAGCCAGCCCAATGAGGAGCTGCAGGTCCTGGATGCGGGGGCCAGAGGGCAGAGGGCAGTGGAAAATGCTAAGGGAACCTCCACCTTCTGCTTCTCTGCCAGGCCAGCTCTTCCCTAGATTTTCTGAATTCCCTATAGGAGAAAGCCTTGAGTTCATGTTCAAACTCTGCAGCTGACTGAGAGACAGGGTAAATGGTCGGGGCATGAATTGACTCTAAAGTCACAGCATTTTCCATGCAGAGGTGTGAGAAAATAAAACACAGAAGTAATAACAAGGCACGAGAATACCCCATGTACCAGGATAAAGTCCCCATGCACATCTGGTCTGACCCACACTGGGTTTCTGCAGATGTGCACTGGACCTCAGCCAGGTCCTATGGAGGGTCAAAGGTGAACCTACCCAAGTACCCTCAGGATCAAATGCTTGAAATGAGGACTCTAGCAAAGGCGCTCGGCCACCTTCCACCCAAGCTACAACTTACCCAGGTAAGCCAGCAGCCTCCATGACATTGGCCAGGGTCACATCATTGGACCAGACATCGTATTGCCACTTGCGTAGGCCCAGGACTCCACAGAGGACCCTGCCGGTGTGTAGCCCGACACGCATGTTCAGGTCCACTTCAGTAGCCTCGGCCACGGATCTGTAACACAGGTACAGGGCATGGGGCCGAAGGCTGCCTGGCAGGGACCTCAGTAGGCTGTCACGGCTGCACTGTGAAGCCATGAGCACAGGGGAATAGGCTGCTTGGGTTTGTGATGTGACAGGTACCAGGGTGTCTGATCAGAGGACAGCAGCACATCTCTGCCTACCCGTGAGCTAAAAGTCAGCCACATCGATGGGCAGCAAACTCTGTGAACTACCCACATAGCATCCTCCCGCCCCTCCCCACCCAGGGAAGTCTCCAAGAAGAAATGAACCCAGGACCTCAACGTAGATCTTCTGAGGAAACAGTCTGGGGAAGTGGACGAAGGCAGAGCACGTGCAGAAGGAATTAAGGACTTGGGCACCAGCCAGTCTGGCCAACTGAGGATACACCACTCTTGGTCCCTGAGACTCAGTGTCCTGGCGTGTGAGTCTGGCTCTGGCAACATTAGCACTGACAATGTCTGGAATTGCTTCAGAGCTCCCCTGGTACACCTCAATGCAGGAGATGTAAACCACCTCCTTCCAGCCTTTTCTATTCCATTCTTAGAGAACACCAAGGGATGCTCCACGAGGGACTCTGGGAAGAACACCATCTCCTTGTCACTGAAGGTGTGTGATCATATGGCCAACAGTGCAGCCTTCAGTGAGACTCCCTCTGGTCTGTGTGGTATCACCTAGGAGGATGTTGCAGGTCACATTTTCAGTAATAAAAGAGCATGTATGGATTGACCCTGCCCGGTGTCTGGCTAACCTTCACCCTGACTTCTGTTTACAAACTGCCCACCCTGCTCCCACCTGGCATACATGCACAACATATACCCATACCCTCTGGCCTCCCCTTGGTCCCCACCAGGTGCTCCCCTGATCTGTCTTTCAAATAGGACAGCTGCCCCTTGCCTCTGTGCTTGGGCAGGCAAGATGCAAGAGCCAGATGCAGCCCAAGGGCAGGGACCTGAATTCCTAGTGCAGAATCAGTTTCAGTGATTCCAGAAGTACAAGTGGAAGTCAGACTATTGCTAAGTCTTTAAGATCCATTTTGTTTTTCACATTTTGAATGAAACTTTTAAAACTTTAACTTTGTTCCCAGTGGCCTGCCAATCTTCAATAAGAGACACTGAAATGAAACTCCAATAAGAAAATCTGCATTTTCAAACCCACATGAGCAACATGAGCAACGTTCGTGGAGACACCTGCCCTTCCTGTTCTGGAGCACATTCACCATCTCTGTTTCCGCAGTCACAAAAGGTAAGGCAGCCTGGGGACTGCCAGGATATGCATTTGCCCGTGTCTACAAATGCCCACAAGCTCCCTTAAGCCTTCCAAACCAGCTGTTTTGGATCCCTGTGAGCTGGGATCCGCCTAAGCTCACAAGGCCCCCCCATGTCTGGCACCTAACACCGTCTGCCAACACTCAGTCTTTCCTGGCAGCTTCTGCCTCTGGTATGTCAAGGCTGGCACCACTGAATCCATAGCACCCTGGAGAGTGTCTTCTAACGAAACAGCCCATCCAGCTGTTCTGCTGTGGCACCTCTTGGCTCCCTTATACCCAAGCACGATTTGTCCAAATCCAACATAAACTTTTACTTCCTTTCCAGGACACCAGGATTTCCACAGCCCATCGGCTTTATTCATCCTATTATTTCTTATTTATGCTCTCAGAGTGACTTATCTATCACAAGTATTTCCTATGTTGGAAGAATGCGGTCCTGACCCTGGTTGGTGCTGGATCCCAATAGGAAGCAGCCAATCCTGAGGCACAGGGCCCTTCTCCCCTCTCGGTGTACATAGATCCTGGCCGACATAAAACCAAGAGCGTAGATGAAAGGACGAATCTGCGTTCTGTTCAACAAGAACCTGCTGAGTTCACATTGCTTGGCCATTCTTCCAAGCACCATGGATACAGCTGTGCACACAACAGAGAAAAAATAGAAAGGGTGGAATGGGCACTCGAAACAGTGATTTGCTGTCATCTAGGCAGAATTCCCCAGAAGCAGAGATAACACATGTGCCTGAGGCGGCCCCCAGCCTCCATCCTTGCATGATAGAAGACTACAGCAACCCCCTTCCACCCAATGCGTTCCAACTTGTGCCTTCAACACAAGGGCTCCTAACTTCCCCTCCCGGGCCTCCGCTTCACCATCTATAAAAATGCAATCATCGGCTTTAATATACATGCTCAGAATCCCAAGGTCCCCTAAATATTATGCCAGATTTTTTTTTTTTGTAGTGAGTGGAAATTCGGAAGTATATAGCATTCTCCACCCCAGAGAAAACTCCAATTAAACACATCCACAAGGCTGACTCTAAAAACCAGAATCCAGTACTTAGACAAAGCAATCCTCAAGGTTAGTCTGTACTGAGAGACTGGCATGTGCTGTGGCTCACACACAGCCAGGTGAAGAAAGAAATGCCTGGGTATAGGAACGTTAGCCTAGAGACCATGGGCATCCACCAATGACTTACTGATGGGGCAATCTGTCCTCACCAGCTCAGAGGTGGGTCACTGGGGGGAAACCCGTGCATTTCCCAATTCAGCAGAGCAGCTCAAAAGCAAGGCCAGGGTAGATAATATCTATTTAGAAAGAAAGCACTTTGTGCACTTGGAAGGCACGTGGAAGAATAATTAGGTCACTGTTCCCATCTCACTTGTGCCAGCAGGGGCTTCCCTGTGACGTGGACAGACTTGTACAGGACCACGGGCAGCAGAGCGGAGGGAATCCTGGGGAAATCCTGCAGCAGAGGGCCTCCCTCTTCTTGGGATGGCTCCTTCTGCCTGGGAGCTGGTGAATCATCCCCTACCGAGGCTGCGGAAATCCTCCCACTCAGCTACGGCATCTGAGAGACGCTCAGTCCTCACAACCACCACGTCTCCATTCACAGCCAGAGAGGACGAAGCGTTCGAGGAAAATGAAACACCACCCCAGACTGGGAACCAGGAACCCACAAGCTTCTCTCTAGCCTCAGCAACCAGAGGTCCTGGGGTCCAGTCACTCAGGGAACGTGGAGGTCTAGTCCACGGTGGGAGGGGAGGGGTATAAGCAGAAAGGGGAGGAGGCACAGACCGTGTTGGATGGGGGAGGAGGGGGAGGAAGACTCAACTACTTCACCACCAGCATGCCTGCCCTCATGGACATCTGGGAACAGAGCTTAGAAGGAGTTATTTTCTGAGGCCTGAGCAGCATAGAAATCCTTAGATGCCCATCAAAATAAGGCCACTGGGGGGTAGAGTGGGAGGTGTCCTCGCCCTTCGGATACCTGCCAACCCTGGTACAACAGCTGAGGAGATGGCCCTAAAGCCCCTTCTTCTTGGTATTGCATTGCAGGGATATAAAAGTGAGGAACACAGATGCTCTACACTTTAGGGGTCTCTATCCCATTCTGGGTCCACTCCAGGGCTGCCTGGGGTTGCAGAAAAACAATGTCCTCAACCTCTGAACTAATCAATGACAAGACAACAGGCATGGGGGGCCTGAGTTTAAAGGTTAGAAAAGAAAAATAAAGTGAATGTTTCTGTCTATTTTCCCCATAGGAATGAACAGTCTTAGGAAGTAAAATAACCAGATTGTTATACAGTCGTTGACAAGGGAAGTGTCCTGACCCCTCCAGCCTGGGGAGAAATCAGGACCAGTCTAGCAGACTTCTATCTGCATTCTCACTTGGAGCAGCGCCTGCCCTGATGGCACCCTTCCTTGTCTGGCCCATGCGCCTTCCCTGCACAAGCCCATCCTATATGCACAAGTGTCGGAATGGACTGCCATGCTCCCAACAGCCAGCAGTCCTGGCCAGGTTCTGCCAGCAAAGCCTCGTTTGAACTTAACAGCTGATCATGGAGACCAGACCCAGCTGGGTCAGAGGATAGTGGCCTCCCCATCACCCTTCATCATTGCACCATGCATCCCAGAGATGTATGTGCAGGAAACAGTTCCAGAATCTTCCAGTAACCATGCTAGTCTTTGAGTCTCAGAAAAGCTCTCTGTCCAGTCAGAATTCTCAAACCTACAAAAGACCTATGGCTCCTGAAAAATGGGCACTTCAGGCCCACAGACTGAGCTATTTACTGGTCACTGGGACATACTGTCCATCACTCGGGGACATTTTAAAAAAAGAGGTCATTTCAGAATCAAAGAATCCAAACCGTTGAAGCCCGCTAGCTTCCTCTAGATACTGGGAGGCACCTCTGGTCCAGATGGCTCCAGACAGAAGGAAGACGTAGTTAAGGGCATAGGCACTGCCCCCCACATTGGGGCATATAGCACAAGGCCCAGCATGGCATCCTGCACATGTATGGGCTCCAGCGCTTCACTGGTTCTCCCGAGGTCTTCTCCAAGAGTCACAGTGTTTCCAAAGCTCCCAGATGCCCCACTCCAAGGTCAAGAAACAAAACCACATGAACACCCTGCTTTGCCTGGACATGCCTGTCCTCTAGATAAACATGTTCTGTCTTGTGTGATTCTGCGCACCCCTCTGAAACAGGGGCACAAGCAGGCTGGTATGGCCATCAGGGAAGGTGCCAGTTGCCATATGGAATCTTTCTGGGAGATCCAGAGGCCAGCCAATGCTGAGCACACATGGGCCATCCCTGGCTCTGTGCAATTCTCACGGGAAGAAGGGCTGTTAGATTCTCTTGGATGAACTCAAGCTGCTTGCTCCTTCCCGTCCAGAGCCAGAAATTCAGGTCACAGAAAGACTCTAAGCTCATGGGATCTCGAGGCTGTATGACTATAAGACGGAGTGGAAAGCAGTCCAGGAAGGCAAGGCAAGGCCACCAAGCCCCAGGCTCTCCAGCCTCTCATGACAGAGACAGAGACACAGAGACAGAGAATTCCAGCTGAAATACTGGAGGAACAGTGAGGAGACCATGAAGCAGAGCAAGTTGGGCAGGGTGGCAAGGTATCGGCTCAGCCTCAGCAGGTGGATATGGCACTCCACAGAAATGCCTTAGAATTGAAGCACATGCCAACTTTATAAGAGAGACTGGAAAGAAAGGAAGGCCTGCGCCCCATGTGAGAAATAAGGCTCCTGAACTCGGAGAGACCATGGAAAGCTGCCAGAGAACACAGGCAGGAAGGGCATCCAGTCTGCAGGGTACAAAGCCACTGTGAGCTACCTGGTCACCCCAGTCAGGTGGAGCCCCCACCTAACTTTACCTGGATCTACATAGCACACCCTCTGTCTCAGATCTTCCACCTACAAAGCCTCATTGTACCTGAACCAGGTCACACAAAACAGGACGTGGTAAAATATGCGACCTGTCTATACATGATGCATGATGGGAAGTGGAATGCAGAGTGATATACTATAGCCATGCTGGCTTCAGAAGGTAGCACAGGCCCTGATACACTGAGCCTGCCTTCTACATTTACAGGGACACACCCACTGAGGACACTGCCTCATTCATCACAAAGCCCTAACCAGCGGCATGAGATGGAGTCACCCAATGACTGTCTGTCAAATCCGCAGCTCACCAGCCACCAGGTTTCATCCATCACTTCTTCTTTTCTTCCTTTTGTTATGAGTATATACAAAGGTAAAAACAATGGGTTCCATTATGACAATTTCACACATGGATAGATAGTGTACTTTAATTCATCAACTGTTTCCTGATTTAAACACCAGAGAGAAAAGGAGCCTAAAGACACAATGATGCTACCTCATCTTGGTTTTTCTGGCTTTAAGAATACATATTGTCTTTGCCTCAACAACCTGTCCTGGACTCACGGGGCTCCTGCTGAACATCAAATTACCATACTTGGAGTCAGAGTATGGTGCCATTGCATATTATTACATCATGTGGCATACATATGTGATACCCGATATAATATATGGCACAATACAGACACGCACATGATAAATATGACACATGGTATTAGGATGTGATACAGGCGAGGGGTGGTGATGATGGGGCAGGATAGGTAACATGGCAGAGGATATGTTGTCTGCTTCCACACATGATACATGATAATATATCATATGCAACTGTGATCCTTTTAATTTATTTTTATTATATGTGTGTGGGTGTTTTGCCCGCATGTATGTCTGTGGGCCACATGCATGCAGTGCCCACAGAGGCCAGAAGAGGGCAGGTGTCCGAGCCCCTGGAACTGCAGTTTCTGAGCATTGTGAGCACCTTATGGGTGCTGGGAATCAAACCCAGGTCCTCTGGAAAAGCAGCCAGTCCTCTTAACCTTCTGAGCCATCTCTCCAAACCCTAATAGTGATTTGATGTGACCTGGGACACACAATATAACATCCTTCCAGGGAACAATAGATAGTCATTGCCAGGCATCTTCCTCTTCTCCCTTCCTTACCCCCCTTGCGGCAGAACACATTTTCCAGCTGCCTTCCCCCGGGGCAGTGACTCCTGCATCTAGGGATTGATCATAGGCACCAGGGAACTTCTTCACTCTCATTTCATAGAGTGGAGCTCAGATCAGCTCCTGAGGGCTTCTGGCAGGAGCAGTCCTGGAGAGCTAGTCCCTGCAGAGCCAACTTTGGTGTTCAGGGCAGCCATAGTGCTGGCTGCTTCCTTACACCTGTCCCCAACTGTGTGGATGCTGTGTGTGTGCATGCCTGCACACGGCAGCCACTTGACAGCTTCCTTGAGTAGCTTTTATGTCAGTACTTTCCACTCTAAGCATGAACTTTACACCACCACTTCCTGAGAACAGCTCATGGAAACTACCTGCCACTCCGCTGAGACATCTACCTTCGTCCATCAGTCCCACACCTGGAATACATCACCATCTCTGACAAGGCCAGCCGCAGCTGACCAAGAAAAGGTAGGCTGGGTCTCACAGGAGAACCCACTCCACAGGAACTCACATGCCCAGACTTCGGCCCCCTCTTCCCACAGAGCACCAGAGGCAATCGGCTACCCAGAAGAACACTGGCTGGCTTTGAATGGGCTTGTGCCCTCAGCCTTCCTCAGTGCCTCCCCAAGCTCAGTTACAGAGGTCCCTTATGGGCACACTAGACACACAAAGGATTTCTGTGCACAGAGCAATGCATCATAAACCGAGAGGAGGGCTCACCAATGCATCCCCTCTCAATGCAAGTGGGTCACTCTGACCCCGCCCCCTCCCAATGCTGCCTCAGCCTCTGCAGTCGGAGACAGACGTGGTGACGGCGCAACACTTACGTGATGGTATCGATCATGTCAAGTCCCATCTCCACACAGCAATGGGCGTGATCAGTCTTGGGCTGGGTGAGGCCCGACACACAGTAGTAGCAGTCCCCAAGGATCTTGATGCGGCGACAGTGGTTTTCCTTTGGGGAAAGCACAGCACAAGATCATTGCAGAGTTGCTGCTGGTGAGTATGCTGGTGTGTGGCCTTCAGTGGCCAGGGTCAGGCTCGTAAGGGTGCTCCCCTCAGGGCCCCCAATACCCTCACTTCTTTCTACTGGGATCGTGTATCTCCCCCGTCTTCTCTATTTAGCCAACACCACCTGGACCTTCAAGGTCCAGGAGTAAGGCCACCTTTTAGGAATGTACCCCCATCCACTTCACTTACACAGTGCCCCCCCAACCCCAACCATGGTCCAGCCCTTCTGGAAGGCATTCAATCTAGAAGGAAGTCCAAGCCATACCCACACAGAAGTCCCTGCCGCTCTGAACCTCCCACCTTGGATCACATTTTCCCATTTATATTAAGATATGAAGAATGCATGCTGAGTCTCCCATATCTGAAATTCTAAGAGCCAGAAGCACTTCCAGATCTTTTTTTCTTTATTGTCAGATTTAGAAAGACTGGCATAGACTTTACTGGCGGGCATACCCAATCTAAAAGCTTCAAATTCCTAAAGTTTTTGAGTGTCACATGATGCTCAAAGTCTTAGCTTTGGAAGAATTTCACAGTTTGGATATTCAGGTTAAGATTGTTTACGCTGCCACAGCACCTCTGAGGGGACGCACTCACAGCGTCCCCTAGAACATCCATGCAGGGGGCATGGACACCCCTCCTCCAGGGAGGATGGGTGGATTTCAGTAAGGAGCAAGTCAGTCACACACTACTCTGAAACCTGACACATGCTGACAGATCCACATATCATTGTGACTGTCATTTTTATTTCAAGGAAATCATTAGAATATGCAATGCTAGAGCCAGGGAAATGACTCAGTAGGTAAAGGCCCTTGCCACCAAACCTGACCACCTGAGTTTGAACACTGGAACTCACAGGGTGAAAGGAGAGAATTGAATCCCGCCAGTTGGCCTCTAAACACGCGCGCGCACACACACACATCATGGCATGGCGCCCTTCCCACACACATGGAAAATAAAAATTTAAAAAGTAATTAAGAGGGGTGGTAGAACACAGGAGGCATGAGAGGGGGAAAGGTTTACTTAGGGATGTGGAGATTCAGGAAAAGATGGATGGCAGGTGGGTTAGCAAAACTAAGGCTATGTGAAGAAACTATATGAAATCTAATAGTTTCTAAATTAATTTTTAATATATTATATATTTTTAAAGGATTTGAACAGAAGTATCCTGCATAGGTGGACAACATGCTTCCAGAAGACATGGGTTATTAAATGAAATTTTCAGTGCCAAGCACTGGATACCTCTCTCTGAGTTATTGGTCATAGAGGCCCCAGATGCATCCATAATAACACACACCATGAGAACTGTTCTTGGTTGCTCCCAATAACTGATGGTAAGACCTTAGTGCTGAAGACACCACTCACTTTGGATGCAGGACCTAGAAGTCAACCTCACCCAGGGAACTCTCCCTGCTGGCGAGCTTACACAGTGACAGGAGTTATGCAGACTGCTGGGGAGGCAAACATGGGGATGCCCTTACCCAGTGCTGGATGCGCATGCTACAATACTGCCCTGCTGGCAAGATGTGCCCAATGGTGCAAGAGTGGCATGATGGTGATGCATGTTGCTAACCACTTTCTGACCGGATACGAGGACCCCTGCGCAAGAGGGAATTCATGCCTGGCACTCTATACATGGTCAAAAGCCCATGGCTGGAGAGACGGCAGGCCCTCGCAGGGAACTTACTGTTGCTATTTTCTTAAACGGTCATACTATACTCTAACATGTATAGTATAAACTATACTATGGTCTAAATATTTACGTTTAGACCATAGATTTGAGCTTCTCTCAACTTTGGCCAAAGATGTTTCCTTTTACAGTGGGTAGTGGTTAAGGCAGAGACTCAGAACTGGTTAAAGGGCTGAGTACAAAAAACACTCGGTGTTCAGCTGTGGGGAGGTCATCTATATCAACCTCCACCACCCAAGGCTCAGGAACTTCACAGAAGAGGGGGCAGAAAGAATGTAAGAGCCACAGGATGGGAAGGAAATCTGTGTACAACACTCATGTCACATGCAGATCAACTCATAGCAATGATGTTATCTGTATAAGATCAAACAGTTCGAAATCCCAGCATGATGGGTCAGGGGCCCCAGAGGATGCACCCCTATTGGAGGAGATGCAGGCAGTTAACCGGTGTTGAGGGAGAGTCACTCTCCTTTGGGGACATGGCTGCTGACAGGTTGCACATACTGCAGTTGATGACCGCACATGGGCAGCACTAATTAGATAAGGAGGTATTAACAGCAATGAGAAAGAGGACATGAAATTGGGATGGAGATGGTTTGGGGACCAAGAGGGTATTGGAGGGAAGTAGCGGTGGATGGATATGGTCAATATCCACTGTATAAATAAAACTTTCAAAAAATAAAAAATAACTTAAAAAAACACCACAGTTCTCAAACAGCTCCATTTCAGGTCCCCTTAACATCTGGAAATAATCAAAGCCATACCAAAAATAACCTTTGCACAGGTTAGTTATAGCTGTTGACATTTGCCCAGAAGCACCCACACTGAGACATTTTAAACAAATGTCTTTTAAGGTGATAGTTGCAAAATAAACCATTTGCAATGTTAACTAAATTCAAGTGAGAATCTTGCCTGAGATGACCACTTCTGGGAGTCTATGATACCTATTTTCAGAGCAGACAGCCAGAAGATTTGGCCCATGTCTGCTTCAAGCTAAGACATGCAGGAAGACAATGGCCTCACTTCCTGCAGGACATTTAGATGAGGACGGACTTCACAGACCATAAGATGCTTCCACTGCATCCCACAGCTCCACGGCGTCCACTTTGAAAACACATCCACCATTCAGGTATAGTTTTATGTTTGAATTTACCAACCAACTGTTCCCTGTAACGTTCTCAAATCCTGTAAATTAACAAATGCCAGGCTAAGCAGGGATCACCATTATACCTGGACAGTGAGGGGTCTCTAGGCCTCTCCATGGAGAGACGGTACCAGAGCTGAACACAGCCATAGCTCACTGCTGTCCAAAGCCGCCCAGGCCCCTGTGCCGCAGGGACTTCAAGAGCTATCTCCAGCCACCAATGACAATCTGAGAAGAGAGGGTCATTAGCCATGCAAATGGCCCCATGCCTGTTCCTTCCATCCCTGGGTCTCCCTCAGCACATGATGCCTCCAAAGAAATAGAACATCTTCGGAAGGACTGGCAAGTGTGGAATCTGACCCCAGCCAATACAAGTGTTGTATGGAGAAGACAAAAAATAGCACACCGTGCAGAACAAAGAGACATCACAGGGATGCTGAAGGTGACCATTACCACATGGTGCCACCAAGACAAATATGGTCAGACTGCCTCAGGCAGTGAGGTCAAAGTCCTTGAGTACTGAGGACCACAGACATGCACGTATACACACATGCATGAGAGCCTTGTGTTCTCTGGGGAAACAGGCCGGAATAGTCATTTTAGAACAGCTGGTGTTACCTGGAGCCTGATCAGCGTATGCACAGGTCAGTGTAGGATCTCAGTTTATCCAGTATCACTCCAGAGCATGCCCCTCCCCCGCACCGCCCGTGCTCTTCCCTGTGCTTTCCCACCTGGCCCCCACCATGCTGGCAGACACAGCCTACAATAGACACTCACTGGATACACTGCTTTATTTTTAACATCAAAGGTCCAGCAATCTTTGCGAGCAATCTTAAGAGCTCAAAAAGATGTTTTTAGTTGTTCTTGCTGATTTAGATCTTTAGAAGCTTCTCTATAAATATAGAAAGTCTGGTATGGAATCACTGCAAGAAATCCAGAACAGGGCATCTATGATGCTTCTGTGGCTCTGTATTCTGACAGGAAGGCAGGAAAGAGGAGGAGGAGGTGGGAGGGGCAGTGGGAGGGGAGAATGGAAGGGGCTTGAAGACACATTCAGTTCTTGGGACCAAGGACCAGGGATCAGAGTTATCTTCTCCTTCCCAAACTGGGAAGGCACACACAAGCCTGCCCAAAGAACTAAGAAGCCTCATGCTCAGCTTCCCAAGTGTGGCCTGGAGGGCTCCAGACAGTTCTTAACCAACTATGGCCTTGCCTGGGTAGATAGCACAGGACAGAATCTAGGATGTCAGACACCCCATAACCCCAACAGTGGCTCTGACCCCGCAAGTCCCCAGCAATTAATAAAGTGTGGGGGGAAGTCTTGAGGTCATAGTAAAGCTGTGATTCCATGCAGAAATGATCAAATTAAGACCTACCAATTTGCAGGTCTAGGAAGCAGCAAAGAGTTGGGAGGCAGATGCTGCTTCTAAGTCCAGAGCCCTACGAGGTCCAATCCCCGCTAGAGTCAGTCTTAAAATAACCTACCCAAGTGGCGCAGTTCTGAGACATGGGCAAGCCCAGCACCACCAACTCCCCAGTATGGGGAAGGCAAGACTGGATTAATCTAGTTTGTTTGTTTGTTTGTTTGTTTGTTTGTTTTTGTTTTGTTTTGTTTTTTACCCTAACTGTTGCATTTAAAGTCCGAAGTGGGGGCTGGAGAGATGGCTCAGCAGTTAAGAGCACCACAGGCTGTTCTTCCAGAGGACCAGAATTTGATTCTCAGCATCCAGAGGCTGGTTGCCCTCTTCTGGCCTCCATGGGCACAGGCACCCACCTGGCACACAGACAGGCAGGCAGGCAAAACACCCATACATGTAAAATAAAATATGTGTTTTGGTTTTTTTAAAAAAAAAAAAAACTTTAATTACTAAAATCAGACTGGCCATTCCTACAAAGATTGCAAGACAAGCTGTACTTGAAATAGGACCTTTGAGAACACCATCTCTATATGACAGGGTACAGGTGATGGGCACCACAAACGCTCACCCGCTACACCCACAGTTAGAGGGAAAGGCACAGAGCTCTCCCAGGGGATACATTAAAGTGGGTGGGAAATCGGAGGCAGAGGAGCTAAAAAAAAACAAGACCTCTGCACACATCTGCCCATCAACAGGGACCAGACGAGGCAAATACAGTCCCTGGTGGCCTATCTAGTGTTAGGAAGGACAGAGAGGAACAGGTCTGCATTGTAGTGTGTGTGTGGGGGCTGGGGGGAGTGCATGTGCCCACACAGGAGGAGCAAGATCAAACTCAAACACAGCATAGGTGCTTAACCACATTTGTAGGAGGAAGGGGGTAGTAGCCTCTTGCAATGCATCTGCAGGATTTTCACTGTGGAACTGACCTTTGCACATATTTTGTATATATACAAAAAAAAAATTGGGCAAGAAAGAGTGATGCCTAAAAATCCAAACCAAATGAAATAACTTAACTGTTACCACCTGGGAAAGAAGGTCGCCCAGAGAATTATTTCAAAGCACATGAAAACACCACTTCACTGTCTAGGGTGTAACCTCAGCCAAGAACAAAAGCAAGCACTAGGAAACGTTAAGGTGAACTACTCAGTAGTCTTATTCTTGATAACTGACAGTGTCGTTTTGAACCTACTACCTAGAGAAGAGTGAAACAAATAGTAGTATTGCCTCTGTTCATTCAATTTATGCTACTACAAATAGAATACTCAAGACCGGTAATTTATAAAGAACTAGGATGTACTTCTTCGAGTTCTCGAACCGGCTGAGAGACCCATGTTCCTCAAGGGTCTTCATGCTCCCCGAGTGGAAAGCAGGACAAGAGAGGGCATGAGACACGGAGGGCAGGAGGTGACCAAATTTGCATTGCAACAACCTGTTCCTGTGGTCACTAGCCCAAGACAGCAGTAAGCCCTTGTGGGCTAATCACATAATAGGCCCCAGCTTCCTCCTTTGCTGACTAAGACATTAAGTCGCCAACATATGAACCTTGGGGTATATGTCTAAATCAAGGCACTTCATTAGAATCTGCAGCAGCAAGGAAAAGACACAAACATATAAATGAAGAGCAGAGGGTTAAATGGATTAGAAATATCAATATAGCTTCTTTTTTTTTTTCCAAGATAAAAACACAGCACTGCAGAGAACAGAACATTGTCTCTCTTATTTTGGGGGCTGTGAGTAACAAACTTCCCTCAATGGCACTAGCTTCTATCTATGTGTTTGCACTTGGTCACCCCATACGTTAAATTCCAGGGGGGACAATCAAGCTCTGTATCCATCTCACTTGCACACTGATTCAAACAAACCAGCTGTGGAATAGCAAGACTCAGACGAGGCAATGGAAATAATCTGGCTGTTCCCTGTTTGGCTGGGTTGGACAGTGGAATGGTGTTGGTAGCGGTTGAGCAGCCTCAGATGGCAAA